CCTACATGGGTGGATGCTGCAAGGTTTAGATGAATTATGTTTCTGCTTTGCTATGGGAAACAGGGCTCTGGAGTTCAAAGCTTTCAGCACTGAAATCCTTCTTGTTGGCAATTCAAGCTCTCAGGAGGCCATTCTTCCACCTCAATCATATAACGGCAAAATGCATGCATTCATTCCTCACAGCTCTGAAATTTCACAAAATAGAAGTAAATTGAGGGTGAAAGAGGAAATGACACAAAGCAAAATGGCAACAAGAAAATAATAATCCGGAAAGCCCACACTGCCAATGGAAAGTTCATAAACAGTGTTCCTTGATCTGGTTCTAGCCTGAGTTTGCAAAGTCTGCTGAGACAAAAGCTTTGGCAGGTGTGACTCACTTCCTGTTCACCTCAATAAATGATTAACAGTGAAAACTCGTACTGACAATGTAATGTCAGCATTGTTTATACCTTCACGGCGATTCATCCTAGCAGAAAAATCCAGCAAATGCTCTTCCTTCATGTGGTTGTATTGTATAATAGTTCCAAATAAAAATGATTTATTGTACAAGTAGCCAGTAGTCCTCAGGTTACCCTCTGCTTCCCTATCTTGGCAGGGGAATAAACACGTATAAGTGAATGGTCAGAGAAAATTAGAAAATGATTCTGTGGCTATAGAGATATCAGCTGTCCAGGGAAGAAGGACTTTGAAAGTTCAGTTTTTCAACAATCACTACGCTTCATGGGACTCTACTTTTTAAGGCTAAAACTATTTTTCTGACTGAAGATAATTACTTTGTGCAAAGTAGGATTTGTGTATTTTAAGGACATCTTTGCACTTGTTCAAAAATTGTAAGGAAACAAGGTCTTGCCTCCACTTTCCTGATGTTTTAATTAACTGATGTTTGCAGCTTGCTGGAAAATACTGAGGGAATACACTCCTGCCAGATGAAAAAACAGCAATTCATAAAGACTGGAGAATCAGTCATGAGGTGTCAACTTACACTTTTGCATCTATCTTTAGCCTCTTGGACCAGTCAAGCATCTGGTCTAAGTAGACTTTTTGACTCTCTTCTCAGTGGAAAGAAACTGGTACCCTGAAGGTGGTTCACTCTATGGCAGTGCATGTGTCCAAGGTAGGATGAACCATGTTCTGGGAGTGCCGATCTCCTGGAGACAGTAGTCTGAAGGATAAGGTCCCCACCCCAGCTAACACGGTTCAGAATGGTTCTCCATTTTCTGAGCAGCAGCCTTTTCCCCACAGTTTTGATCACTTCTTCCAGTTCCCACCTCACCTCCCATGAGTTCAGAGTGGATAATTTCATAGAATCATAGAATCACGGGGTGGTTTGGGTTGGAAGGGACCTTCAAAGATCATCTAGTCCAACCACCCTGCTGTGGGCAAGGACAACTTTCACTATATCAGGTTGCTCAAAGACATATCTAACCTGATCTTGAACACTTCCAATAATGAGACATCCACAGCCTCTCTGGGCAACCTGTTCTAGTGTCTCACCACCCTTGTGTCCTGGTTTCAGCTAAACCACGACACCTTGTCACAAAAAAATTCTTCCTTATATCCAATCTAAATCTACCCTCTCTCAGTTCAAAACCATTATCCCTTGTCTTATCATTAAATTTCTCTGAAATACCTGCTGGATAGGGGTTTTTGTCTCTCTCCATTGAAGGAGAGAGAACTCCCTTTAGATCATCAGCTTAGACAAGACATTAGGAGCGATAAAACCTACCCCAGGAATTTCACCCTTCCCCTGTCTTTGGCTTCTCTGATAAAGGTAGGCTATACAAATACAGGACAGGTAGATCAACAGATGCACTAGTGGTGGCAGTTGTTTGGTCAGGGTATTTATCATAGCTTTTAGGAACCAGTCTGATACTTCCAATTCATTTGCCACAGAGCGCAGCAAAGCTTTCAGATGCTAATGAATTTCAATATATCCTTGCAAATTAAAGTCTTACCACTTTCTAATTATCATCTGCTAATAATGATCCTCTTCTACAAGCAATCTAAAGAAAAATTAAAACTCCAGCTTGTCAGAGCATTTGTTTTCATCTGAGTACTCACCAGTGGTTCTCCTCGGGAAAATGTTGTGGCAGTGAAATTACCAAGGAGCCTGCAATTAAGAGAGATTGCAGCGACAAGTCTGACACAATAGGAAGAAGGCTTCAGAAGGGACATGGTGGGGAGGGGACATCTCATTCATTTAGCACCACAAAAACAATGCAAAATGAAGTAATTACTTTGGGGACAGAGTGCTTCCTTCACTGTGTCCTGCTGAATGTCTAAACAAAATCTCAGTTGTTCACTAAGTGTTCACGAGTTCAACAGAATTAAAAGAAGAAACTCAACCCTCCAGTCAGTTAACATTTTTCTTGTCAAATAACAATGTAAGAGCCATTTCAGGGAAGACCAGAGGCTGACTGAACAAAACATCTTGTCTCTTACTGTGGCCAGAAGAGACACGTATGGAAAGGCC